ATATGAGTTGTTGTCGATGGGAGAAGATGGAAAAGTTGAAGAATATGTGTCGAAGGTTCAGAAACTCGTCCATATCATGAAGGGTTATAGTGAAACCATAACTGATAAGATGATAGTTGAGAAGGTAATGAGATAGTTATACTCTCACTTTGATAACGTTATCGTAGCTATTCAAGAATCCAACAATCTTGAAACCACTAAAGTGGAATATTTGGTTGGTTCGTTGGAGGCGTATGAGATGAGGATTGTCGAAAGGAAATGAGTTCAGGACTCGATACAGGCGCTGCAAGCTCAACCATGGAAAAAGAATGGCAGTTCCAACAAATTCAAAGGCAAGTTCGACGAGACTCAGGGCAAGAAGTCTTGGTCGAAACCTCACAAGCATCAGATCAAAGATGGAGCTTCTGAATCCTCGAAAGGAGGGGGAGGAAACTATCGAATGGACAAAAAAGATACAAAAAAAGTGTGCATTGTTATAACTGTGAAAAATAGGGTCACATAGCCAAGAATTGTTGGTACAGAAAAGATAAGGGATCGAAAGGCAAGGACGGGGGAGTTAACCTTGTACACCAAGATTCATATGATTCTGAAGGAGGTATGGTGGTAATGGCTGTAGTTGCAGATAACCATATTGAATCCAAGATCTGGTTCCTCGACTCAGGCTGCTTGAATCACATGACTGGTTGAAAAGAGTGGTTGGAAAACTACGACGAGTCGAAGAAGAGCAAGGTAAACCTTGTTGATAAGAGTTTGTTGCAAGCAGAAGGTACTGGAAACATAATTTTTCAAATGGGTAATAGAGGAAAAGTTATGATTAAAGATGTGCTCTATATACCTGGAATGAAGAGCAACTTGCTAAGTGTTGGACAACTGGTCGAAAAAGGTTTCTTAGTTGTTATGAAAGATGGAGCTTTGAATTTGTTCGACACAGAGAACAATTTGGTCTTAAAATCTTTGTTGTCGAAGAACAGGACATTAAGACTATGATCAGTTCGACAAAAGTTAAATGTTTGAAAATTATTGTTAACCACAAGAATAGTTGGTTGTGGCATTTGAGGTTTGGACATTTGAATTTTCGATTACTCAATCAATTGATTACTCAAGCTATGGTTATTGGAAGTCCAAGCCTTGAGATGCCTGCCAAACTTTATGAATGTTGTCTAGTAGGAAAGCAATCCAGAAATTATTTCATTTCGACTATGCCAATGAGATTATCTTGCATACTCGAAGTGGTACATCCAGATGTATATGGTACATTCGAAGAACATACAATTGGTAGAAACATATATTTTGTTTCGTTTATTGATGAGTTTAGTCGAAAGTTGTGGATCTATGTGATCAAACGAAAGGACGAAGTATTTGAAATCCTTAAGAGATTCAAGATACTTGTCAAAAACCAGAGTGAAAAGAAGATCAAAGTTCTGCGAATAGATGGAGATGGCGAATACACATCCAAGATGTTTGAAGATTTTGTGCAGAACATGGTGTTGATCATGAGGTAACTGCTCCTTATACACCTAAACATAATGAAATTGTTGAAAGAAGAAAGAGAACCATATTAGATATGGCGAGATGCATGCTGAAGCAAAATAATTTGCCAAAGTCTTTATGGAGAGAAGTTATTTCGACTGCGGTTTATATTTTGAATAGGTTTCCTACTAAGATATTGAAGAACAATGTTTCTGAAGAAGTGTGCAGTGGAAAACGAATATTAGTAAGTAATTTAAAGGTGTTTGGCTTTATGTGTTACAAGCATATTTTTGATGAAAGAAGAAGGAAGCTTGATGACAAAGTGAACCTATGATTCTGGTAGGATATCATAAAACTGGTGCATACAGGCTATTCAATCCAATTAATGAGAAAATTGTGTTGAGTAGAGATATTGTGATTGATGAAAATTCTACCTGGGATTGGAATTCTAGCAATTTAATTAATAAGCCATTGATGAGTTTTGATTTCGACGAAGAAACTGATGAAGTAGAGGTCGAAGGAATTGTTGAGAATCCAGTGGAAGTCGAAGAAGAAGTAGTTGTTGACATTCCTAACACAGTCGAAGTCGAAGAGGTTGTGGCTTAAACAAGCCAAAGACCTCAAAAAAATAGAGTTCTACCAACAAGACTTCATGATTATGAAATGGTGGGTGATGATGAAGTCGCACCAGATGGAGAATTAGTTCATTTTACTTTACTTGCAGGTGCTGAACCAATTAACTGTAGTGAAGCTTTGAAGATTAAACATTGAAAGTTAGCTATGGCCGAAGAGTTACAGGAAATCGGAAGAAATAACTCATGAGAGTTAGTCGAATTTCCAACACATACAAAAGCTATCAAAGTAAAGTGGGTGTTCAAGTTGAAACATAATATTGATGGTTCGATAGCAAGATATAAAGCAAGATTAGTAGCTCGAGGGTTTATTTAAAGAGAAGGACTCGACTACTCTGAAGTATTTTCTCCAGTAGCAAGATTGGAGATTGTTCGACTAGTGGTAGCATTGGCATGCAACCAAGGCTGGTCGACATTTCATATAGATGTGAAATCAACATTTGTGAATGGTCCTTTAGACAAAGAGGCCTATGTCACACAACCTCCAGGGTTTGTGATTCAGAAGGAAACGAGTAAAGTATATAGATTACACAAAGCGCTCTATGGCCTCAAGAAGGCACCTAGGCATGGAACGAGAAGATCGACTCATACTTAGTCGAATTGGGATTTGTCGAATGTAAATTAGAGTATGGTGTCTATGTTCAGGTTGTAGCACAAGATATGACAATCATATGCTTATATGTCGATGACTTACTAGTAATTGGAAATAGTTTGGAGAACTTGTCAAAGTTCAAGGAGCTGATGACGAAGGAATTTGAAATGTCGGAGCTGGGAAAATTGTCTTATTTCCTAGGTATGGAATTTCAAATGTCGAAGCAAGGAATGGTGCTACATCAAAAGAAGTATGTCAAAGAGATACTCAAGAGATTCAGAATGGATTATTTGAATCATGTATCCTCGCCTATCGAACCAAATGTGAAGTTGGAGAAGAATGGAGAGGAAGACAAAGTCGATCCAACTTTGTTTAAGCAAATTGTGGGATCTCTGAGGTATGTGTGCAACAGTCGACCTGATATCGGTTTCGTAGTCAGATTAGTAAGCAGATATGTGAGTGAACCAAGAGTGTCACATATGAAGGCTGCAAAAAGAATCTTGAGGTATTTGAAGGGTTCAATAAATTATGGAATATTATTTCAACGAGATTCCGAAGGCAAAGAAGCAATAGTTAATTATTTTTTAGATGTTGATTGGTGTGGAGATAAGGAAGATTGAAGAAGCACAATTAGATATTTCTTTCAAGTTTTTGGTGCCCCAATATCATGGTGTTCGAAGAAGCAACATGTGGTGGCATTGTCATCTTGCGAAGTTGAATATATAACAGGATCTTATGCTGCTTGTCAAGCAGTTTGAATCAAATCAGTACTTGAAGAAATGGTTGTCGAAGTGAAGAAACATTTAGTGTTGCAAATCGACAACAAGTCAGACATAAATCTGGCGAAGAATTCAGTTCTGCATGGAAGGAGTAAGCATATCAAAAGCTAGATTTCACTTCCTAAGGGAAAAGGTAAATCGAGATGAATTTGAAGTTAGACATTGCTCAAGTGAAGTACAGTTGGCCGACATCTTCACCAAAGGATTGAAGATTGACAGATTCCTGAATTTGAGAAAGAAATTAGGAATAGTTCAGATTAGCTATTTTTGAGGATGTTCGACAACTTGGATTATGAGAGTGTGTTGAAATATTAAATTAGATTTGTTAAAATAATATATTATATTTTATTAGATTTAATATTTAAATATGATCCAAGTTGTGTAGATCCAAGTCCAATTATGATTGTATATAAATAGTCCTAATTTGTATCATTATTTGTATAATTTAATAATACAAATCATTATTTTGTATCATTATTCTCTCTTTATCTTTTGATTAAAAGTGTCTCACGCATTAAGAGGTTTACCTATAACCCAATTATTTTGAATGGATTTTCATTTTTGAAAACCGTATTCACCTAATAACCCGACCCAATCTATTTTTTTGAGTCGATTTAGATGAATTTTACTTAGATTAATAGATTTACCCAATCCATGTACACTCCTATGTGTGAGTTTTTCTTGTTAACACTACGCCAAAAATGATTTTTTGTATCACCTAATTTAATAGCGCTTTTAAAAAAATGCTATTAAAATGGAAAAAACACATTTATAATATCACTTTTTAATCGGGCGCTATTATATAATACAGACTATGTAATTATGATAGCACTTTGTACCAGAACGCTATTATTAAACTTCTTTAAGATAGCATTTTGTATAAAACGCTATTATTTGACTACCTATATAATAGCATTTATTAAAAAGCGCTATGTTATATATAATAATGAATTAATTAATTAATTGATAAAAAAAAAATACATTTTCAGAAAACACTATCTTCCTCACCGCCAAAACACTATCTTCCCGCATCCACTCACCGCCAAAACAAAACACTATCTTCCCGCATCCACTCACCGCCAAAAACAAAAACACTATCTTCCTCTGCTTCCTTCTTAGTCATTGATTCTCCCAACTGATTCACCGCCGTCAAATCTTCCTCTGCTTCCTTCGGTTTTCATTGATTCACCGCCGTTAGTCATTGATTTACCACCGTCATCCCTTCCTTCGGTTTTCACCCGGATCCATTCTTCAGCCATCGGATTCACCATCGATTCAGATTCAGATTCACTTCTCAAACGACACTCAAACAGAAGGAGGAAACACCGAAAAGAAAGAACAACCAAATCTCATTCTCCGTCGAACTCAACCCTTTGTCATCTCACCTACGTTGTCGTCATCCCTCTCTTCATTTGTATCCGGTAATATTTCTTTTTTCAGTTTCTGCTATCCGTTGATTCTCTGTGTTGTTTGTGAGTGTTATGATGTCTTTGTGTTGACGGATATTCGTGATTTTGAGTAGCTGTAATGAGGGTTTGTGAGGTTAAGTTGCAGTTGTGAGGGTTCGTGGAATTTGAGTGATAAGGCTTGTGTTATTGATGTGTGCCTGAATGGTGAGAGATGAGCTGGTTATTGATGTGAGCAGTTGTGAGTAGTGGCATGAAGTGTAAGGTATTTGGCCATTGAATTAGTTTTAACTAAGGTCTATGTGTTGAAGTTGTGTGCAATTTTCAATTTCTAGTCCTAGTTAACCGTGAATATCAATGTTGAGAGAGATTACACGGTGGAAAGAGTTGTATTTGAGACCAGCCCATGAGTATGGTTTTGAATGAGAAGGAACTCATGTTGAGTTTATGAGAGGCGGAAGTGATATCTAGTGGGAATTGAATGATATAAGTGCTATGCCATCTGAGTTGAGTGCAGAAGAAAGAATGTAGACATGGAAGAAGGAAGAGAAGAGAGGAATGAAGTTTTATGGAGAGCAAAAAAGTCAGTACATTGGTTGAAGATGAGTTGAAAAGTTTGTTCTAGTTTGAGTGATAAGGCTTCTGTTGTTTTGGTGTGATTTAGTCACAATTAATCGATTCTTCTTTTCAATCCAAGCAAAAATTGGCATTTCGTTAATGTTGGATGTTTTTTTGATTTCAGGAAAAACTTGATCAGTGGCTCTGTAGACAGCAAGAGGGTGGATCAAGACTTGCAAATGTGAATCCAGCTGCTGAAGCAAATGTAAGTATTACCATTTTGTATTCAAAACCGTTCACTGCTCGATCTATCTAAATCTTCAGTTGGATTTAATTCCAGATATTTGGTGATCCAGATGCTGCTGATGTTGTATTCACAAGTGGCGCAGATATATTGGCAGTTGGAATAAATGTTACTCACCAAGTCGTATTGTCAGGTACCCCTTTGCCAAATTCATATGCACTCAGTTTTTTCATGCTTACGTAGGTATTTTGTTAAAATGACTAATCATCTCTTGGCAAATCTTATGTGGTTTAACATCTAGTTCTTCAACTGTTATGATAATTTTCTTTCCTTTTCCTTTCATGATTTATGCATCATGATCCAGCAACCTTTTATATGACTATTTTAAACTTTTATATTAATAAGTTCCCATAAATAATGTTTTCAACTCAACAGATTTCATGGATGTCTCCCTAACCAAACTAGTATTCTCGGGAGACCTTTGATTAATGGATAATATTGTGGTAGATAATAATCTATTTTCCATGGTATCACCGCACTTTTAGTATTTAATGCAGACACATGCCAAAGGCAGGGAAAGATCACCGTGTTTGGATTGAGAGAGACCGAGTTCAAAAGTTTCAACTAACTTAAATAATTTCCCCCCATGATAATTGTCAATGACTAACTCTCAAAAGTTTCAGTTGTTAAGTGAAGTTCGTGACTGGTTTTATATCTATAACTAGTTCCTATAATATTTTGAAACCCATGAAACTTTTTATTACCTTTGTGTCTCTATTGGCAGTATTTTAGCATGAAACTTGACATCGGTTGACTGCTATGAGCATGCTTCTATTTTAATTATGGTTCATGTCACTTGTCATGTTAACATTTGTTTTGGTTTACCCTCATCCGAAAAAACAAAATGACTAGGTTCTGATCGAGAAAAGTTAGCAAGTTCAAAAGGAAAATTTGCTCAATACCTTACCGGAATCTTAGAGGTGTATTTCTCTTACCATTGTGACGCATACAACACCAATGGTATGTCTTCATTCTGCATTAAAGAGATAATATAGGCCTAATCATCCTAATTATTAATAGTTCTTTTATACAGGAGTTTACCTTCATGACCCTACAGCGTTGCTTGCAGCCGTTGATCCTTCACTCGTAACTTGCACATAAGGTGCTGTTAGAGTCCAAACCAGTGGCATAACAAGGGGACTTACAATTCTCTACAATAAACAGAAAAGGTAGAAAGCACTAGGAGTTGATAGCCCTGAAATTTATCTATATGAATGTTAATGCCATTTTATAGCAGTTCTGTCTCTCTCCAAATTTCTCAGAATAGTTTGTAAAGATGCTATGGGATTGCATTGACTCTACCAAAGAAATAGGAATTTTTCAGTGACCAACCTAGTTCTTTAGGGGAAGGAAGTAAACTTTTCGTAAATGGTTTAGGCTGTTGTTTGATAGGAGTTTAGATTGCATTAAAATTTAAATGAATTCCCCGGCCTTTTGTTTATATATTCCTTCTATTTGATTAGGAAGAGCAATTTATGTGAAGATTTCCCAGGTATGCCTAGAACATTCTGTTTCAGATAACTGTTACATTCTCAAGTACACTGCATTAGCTCTGGCCTGGCCAAAATCTACCTTGCTGGACCAAACATGATGACAGGGATAACTACAGAGATACTTCATTGGTGAATAGAGTCTTAGCTGAACAGAGAACATAACCTGGAGTTTGCTAAGCTTGTTCCTTTTTGTATGGGCTAATGGAGGATGCTTTCCAAGGGGTGATTAAGCACCCCATAATACCCAAGTCTATATCTTAACACTGCCCACAAGAGTCGCCATTCTGGAGGCCTACTGTAGGAAACTTCGCTTGACCATTTTCAAATAGCTCATCTGTAGTTGGTCTTTTCTGAGACACCGGCAAACTAAGTCACTCAAATACTCCGCCGAGCAACTTATACTATTCAATGTTAGACTTGGGAACTCCATAATATTCAAGTCTCCGTCACCCTTTTGAGTGCAATTATTTGGGAAAATACTTTGTTATCAAGATTTTCTATCTTGTGATGACTTGTTCATTTTGTTATGAATTTTGGATCCAAATACCCTAGTTAGTTGGTGGGTAAGTTAGATCTAAGATCAAATATCATCTATGTTGTGTAGATGAGTTATTGTCGAATTGGTTGAGTTTTATCTCCCTATTGGAGCTTGGTTTAGTTTTTGGCTCTAGACATTGGTTTTCGTTTGTAATCTCAGCATGCCTAAACATCCCTGATTTTGAGGTTTGTATGAGAATGTTCTTCTGTACCTACGGGGAAATAATAGACAATATGATTAAAAATTATAATTAAAGATAGAATCAGGGTAACACCTTATTGTAGAAAATTTGGCTCTATCTCGACTTAGGTGGCTTAGACATGTGTGGAAAAGATATGTAGATGAATGCTATAAGTGTAGATCAGATGAAGGGTAGTCCAACCGTTAGAGTCATAGGAATACCTAGAAACACTGTACAAGGAACTACTAAGGAAACTTTGGGGTCAATGGTTAGGATAGAGATATGATTTATGGTAGATATTATTGGTACATCATGACAAATCGCACTCCTCTAAAGTTAGCAATTTACTTTAGAGTGTAACGTGAGTAATATCAACCATTAACTAACGAATCATAGGTAGATATTATAGGTGCATCATAACAAATCATGAGTTTGTTAACAACCCTTGCTTTTCTCACTTTACACTTAAGTCAATATAGAGGATCCAAATTCTGACTTATGATAGAACACTATGGTGTCGTTTGATCCTCGCAGGCGACCCAACCTAATATTATAAGGCTTGGTTGCTGTAATATTGAAACAAAACCTCTGAAGAACTAATGTGTTGACATGCATAGCTTGGAGAACCAATTAAATGGTTTACTCTTTTTTTAACCGGGTTTCAACACTGTAAGAGTCCAATATAATGGATGATTTAGCAAGGGGGAGTTGAACAAAAACTTCTTTGTAATAATATCTTGTCTTCATCTTGTATTGCAAGTACGATTAACTTTGTCTTTAGGTTACCTTTACTATATGTTACCTCACTTTTCTGTCTTTTTTTTCTTTTTGCAATAAACCAGGTTTGAAGAAGTCACTAAATGGTCCAATATGCCAACAGTAAAAGTAGCTGTGACAGTTGATGCTCCTAGAGTTGTGAAATTGGTCATGGATCGTCTTGTGGCTTGAAGTAGCTATGAAGCCGTCCAAGTAACATTATTGATTACTGTCCATCTACTTAAATCGGGTTTCAATGTTTTAAACACATGACTATGCTCACTTCAAAGTTGTTTTGTTTATTCTTCGCCCTATAATTGTGTTTTGGAGCTCTCGGGCATTCCTTTTTACTTCACATTTTAGTTCAATTTCAATGTAAATTAACACTTGTATCCTAATTATTATATAATGGCACAGAGGTACTGAGTGTTCTTTCTTGGTCTCGAATTTAAATTTTGAAATAGGAAAATACGGAAAAATGACTTATATCTTATTGTATGATTGATTTATAGTTTTCCGTTTCTACTTGAAATTTTTAGATATTCGTAGTAACAATTGTAAGGTGTTTGATATCTAGTTCTGGATCATGAAAAGAAAGTTACACACAATTAAGTGTTTATGTATATTTTGAGAATTTGAATTATATTCTGTTTAGTGTTTATATGCATATAATAATGGAAATTGTGGTCTATATATTTACAAGTCATGTTCTTGTTAGACTTAATTAGTTCAATTATTGCATTAGTTATATCGATTTACTGTCCATCTACTTAAAGCGTTATTTGTGTTGAATTGAATATAGTTATTTTATATTTACACCAAAAAAAATGATTGTGTAAGAAAAAATATTGTACTGTACTTATTAAAAATATTGTACCAAATATGTACCATTTATTAGCACTTTATTTGAAAGCGCTATCAAACATATGTTATATATTAGCGCTTTTTGCTTAGAGTGCTATAAAAAAACAAACAAAAAACATGCAAAATACTGACTTTGATAGCACTTTAATTAAAACGCTATTATAAATTGGTACTTTAATAGCGCTTTTAAAGTACTATTAAATAAGAAATATTTACAATAGTGGCGCGGTTAATAGCACTTTTAAGCGCTATCAAAAACAAAAAAAAGCGCTATTAAATAGCTTATTTGGCGTAGTGTAAGCATGTGTGAATCTATTACAACTTGTGTGAAGGATATTTGGGTGGGGAAATGAATTGAGATTATGAGAATGAAATGAGAATTGGAAGGTTCAGATGATACTTACCAGTGATCCTCGTGAAGGATTGTTTGAAAGAGTGGATAAGATTAATTTTGATTGTGCTTGTTTGATGATAATTTGTGAAATGTGAATGAGATTGAGTTAGTTGAAATGCAATTTGGATTGAATTTGTTTGAAATTAAGAGTGAATTTATGAAGTTTGTTGTAAGGTTAAGCCGTGTGACAATTTGGTGTGGTTCCAGTTTGATTGTATATATATGTGCTATGATGGTTGATGATGAAATGATAACAAGATAATTGTTGTATGATGATTGCTAATTATCTATTCCTTTTGCTTTTTTTGTCTATAATTTTATTGACTTTTTATTATATAATATTAATTATCAGTCAGTAATTCGGTCTCTTTTTATGTTCAAAATTCAATTGTTAATTATAAATAATATTTATTCTTTTTCAATATACAAAAATATAAAACATATTTTTTTATTATGATATACTTTGTAACTCCAACACAAATATTGTACGTGGACTAAATTAAGATTTCACCTTTATAGAATGTGTTGCCAATATTTTTTATTAAAAAATATTATAATAAATAGTTTTTTTTTCTTTTTTCAAATATACATAAATACATTAAAACCTGTAATACATTGTTATACTAGTTTATATGATACAAATTATTTTATGATGATACACTTCTAAACTTCGTCACAGGACTTATGAAAGCACATTCCACCTTTATAGAATACCTTTTCAACCAAATCCAAAATCTCTACAATGAATGCTATATACTCTTGCATTTTTATCACCTATCTTTCATTTTGACACGCTAAATGCCAAATCACTAAATTCAACTATATGAAAAAATCTTAATAGAAACTTAGATTGGTGAAAATAAAATCAACAAGTTACATATCTTGCCACTCCAAAATAATAGCAATAAAAATTAAAAAATAGTTTACCCTAATACATGTTATTGATCTGTTAGAGGGTTTTACTACTAATTTTTTGTACATATATGTTTATTTACACGGAGCTCATATAGCTTTAATTGAGTACTTACTTGTTAAAAAAATTCAATTAGATTTTTTTAATAATAAATCGGTCTATAATACTAAAAAGATTTAGGAAGGAGCTAAAAGTGTAATATATAATATAAAAAATAGAAAAAAAATATAATATTTTAAGTATTAAAAAAATTATCATAAACATTTTTATAAAATATCATCGATAAAGAAATATATATTCTTATGTTTGAAAATAAATAAAAATTGGAAAAACAAAAATATATATTTTATTTAATGACCTAAATTGTAGTTGACATAGTTAAACAAATTAATAAAAGCAGTTAAAAATTTTATATTTGAGACCGAATTTTTGGTCACTAAATTTTTGTCGCTAAATCAGTGAATAATTTAATTTTGTGACTGATTTAACGACAACTAAAACTCTATGCGCTAGGTATCAAAAAATGGTTGCTAATTCAGTGGTCATAGTGACCAAAATTTTTCAATCACTAATTTATTCACTAAAAAGAAACTTTTTAGTAGTGTAAACAATCATAATTTAAAAAATGTTATTAACAAATAAAGAGTAAAAGTCAACTCTTTAACTTTTGTTTATACCTCCGATATATGTGAATAAGTAGTTAAATAATGCAAATGAAAATCAACAAAGGAATGCAAATGGGTTTCAAAAACAATGCAAATGCACTAGTAACAAAAGTCAAGCTTTGAATTTCATTATACGCCGATGAATGACAATGATGTAGGTGAACTATGCATGGAAAACCATATGAAAGAAGATCAAACTCTTAACTCCTTTCTTCTAATTCTTCATGAATAACTGTCAATTTTACAGAGATCAGATGAAATCAGTCAACTCTGATTGTTCATCCACATGGACCTATTAGACCTGATGCAATTAAATGATGACACAATGACCAAATTGGAAGTTAAACTCTTGATTGTCCCTCTAGTACTTATGTTTGCATGAAATGAAACCTTGAGACACCAAGATCAGATAAAAGTGTCAAGTCTGACCTCTTATCATATCTTGACTTCTATAGATGAAAGATGATGTACTGTGACTAAGAAAGCCAAACTCTTGACTCCTCAATCATCACATGAATGAATGAATTCCATCAAGACCAGCTAATATGCAAAACTCTTGACTTTTCACCTAAGCCTTGATGAATGTTTTTGATTTATGAAATGCATGATCAAATGAAATGGTCATGCTATGCTTAGGATAAAATTTAGGGTATGATAGTATCCATAATCTGATGGGTCATTTGGGTTTAGTTCTGAAAGGTCTCTTATGACCTTGTACCTTAGCCTTTTATTAGTGAGGCTTGAGATTATTCAAGACTTTTAGCTTAAAAGTTTTAGGTATTGAATAGTTCTTAGCCTTTGATTCTGAACTCTTACAAATTTTAGAGTTTAGAATCATGGGTTCTGGTTTCTCAAGATCCTTAGACTTTGAGGTTCGTGGTTCTGATTTCTCTAGAACTTATGATTCTATAATCTTTAGTTCTGACTAATTCATAACCTCTACTTTGTCACGAGCAGATACAAAGTCGGGAGGAAGTCCTTTATGAGTAGAACTAGGAGACAACAGTTATTTAGATTTTATCCAGGTTCCAGATTCTGGATCAACATAATGTTTAGAGCAGCCAAGATCATCTCATTCGCTTCTACTTATACCATAGATCAAAGAAGCCACTTTATTCCTATTAAAGCCAGAAATTACAAACTCCTAAAGAGCCATTTCGTAATCACTCAGAGGTTTGTCAAACTTATCATTTATTAAGGCATTATGGTCTCTTTATAATTTGTCAATCTTCTTCTTGGAAGATTATAATTCAACTTTCATGAGATGATACTCCTTTTTAAAAAAAATTATATGTATGGCTTTATCTTCACAATGACTCATAAGGTCTTGAATAAAGGAAATTAAATCTCAATGAGATAGTTGAGAAAATACCTCATCTTCTTCTTCAGAATCTGAACCAGAACCTGAGTCAGATTCTGTGTCTGAAAATGTTGAAGCCATCAGAGCCAGATTGGCTTCTTATTCATCTTTGTCAGATTCTTCCTCTTTGTTAAGTTCATCCCATGTTGCCATAAGATTTTGTTGATCTTGTTTCTGAATTTGTTCTTTTGAAAGCTTCTTTTCTTTGGTCGTTCCTTCTGCATCTCTGGACATTCAATAATAAAGTGAACATCCTTCTTGAAGTTTAAGCATCCTTTCTGATCATCTTTGTTGATTCTGAAGCTTATTCCGCTAAAGCCATTTCCTATGCTTGAGAATCTCATGTTCTTCTTATTGACTAGATACTGAAATATTTTTATTATGAATACCATTTCTTCATCTTATGATTCTTCTTCATAACCTCCTTCATGAGTAGGTTCTTTATATTTCCATACTTTAGAAGATTTGGCATAATGATTAATAGATTTCAAAGCAAGAGAGTTTCATTTTTGAACAGGTTCATCTCCAATCAGCTTCATCTCATGACTATAGAGATTTTTTATTAAGATTTCTAGAATTATGTTGTTTAAATCTCTAGATTCTTGTATAGCTTTCACCTAAGGTCTATACTTGGCAGGAAGACTCCTAAGAATCTTCTTGAGATGATCGACAAAAGCTGGCTTGATCTTCAGAAGCTGGCTTGATCAGAGTCTGGAGTCTTCAGGTTCAGATCATCATAAGATGACTTGATCATATGTTGATTCTTCAGAGTCTGATCTTCAGAATCTTCCTCTTAAGAGTTTTTCTTCGAATGTTCAGTACAGTGTCAGAACTAACTTTCAATTAGTATATTAATCTTTGTACTTTCACACTTGAACACAAATTAGTCTACTCAATTATTCTTTAAATACTTTGTTATCATCAAAATATAAGGGATATATGGTATAATATATGAAAACAATTTCAATATTTTTCTTCTTCTCCATCACCAAATTT